TCTGCTCCTGTCCCCTGCCCTCTTCTCCTGTCTGCCCCTGTCCCCCTCTGCACCCCAGGGTCCCCCCCTGCCCCCCTGTCGCCCTGCCCCCCTGTCGCCCCCCGTCCTTTAAAAGCCCCTGCCTGTGTGTGCCGGTTCTATTCCCTGCGCTCAGAGTCATGGAGACCCAGAGAGTCCAGTCCTCGTACCGCCGACGCTTCGGGACCCAGACGGCACCCGCCCTGCGCCTGTCGTCCGCGCGCCTGTCGTGGCACGGCACCCCGAGGAGCCTCACCCACTCCAGCCCCGTCTCCAGGTCTGTGCCGCCCGGAAATCCCCTCGTAATCCCACTAAAATCTGATCAAAATCCGACTAAAATCTGATTGTAATCCAACTAAAATCTGATCAAAATCTGACTAAAATCTGATTGTAATCTGACTTCTGGAGTTATCAGATTACTCCAAACTTTAACTGGCTCAAAATCACTCAGAATCTGATTATTACTACTGAGTTTTAGTACTACTACTACTACTACTACTACTACTACTGTTACTACTACTTCTGATACTACTACTGTTACTGCTACTACTGCTACTTCTACTACTACTTTAACTTCTGCTACTAATACTGCTACAACTACTACTACTTTTACTGCTACTTTTACTGCTACTACTGCTTTTTCTACTACTTCTACTACTACTTTAACTTCTGCTACTACTGCTGCTACTGCGACTTCTACTTAAATTTCTGCTGCTACAACTACTACTACTACTATACTACTACTACTACTACTACTACTACTACTACTACTACTACTACTTACTATAACTACTGCTACTAATACTACTACTATCAGTACTACTATTATTACTACTACTACAACTACTACTACTAATACTACTAATACTACTACTTTTACTGCTACTACTGCTATTTGTACTACTTCTACTACTACTTTAACTTCTGCTTCTACAGCTACTACTACTACTACTACTGCGACTTCTACTTCAATATCTGCTGCTACAACTACTACTACTACTACTACTACTACTACTACTACTACTACTGCTACTATTACTGCTACTACTACTAGTACTGCTTATCCTACTGCCACTTCTACTACTGCTACTACTATGACTACTGTTACTGGTACTACTACTACTTCAACGTCTGTTACTGCTACTACTATTACTTTTACTGCTACTACTGCTGCTTCCAGTATTACTACTACTACAACTACTTCAACTTCTGTTGCTGCTAATACTGCTACTACTACTACTACTACTACTACTTCTACCTCTGCTAGTGTCTCCCACTCAAAATCTGATTATTACAGATTTTTTTTAGTTACATGATTACTACTTCTATTTCTACTACTACTACTACTACTAGTAGTACTACTACTGCTGCTACTACTGTTCAAATATTCTACTACTACTACTGTACTACTAGTACCAGTACTACAGCTGCTGTGATTGTCCATGTCCCACTGTAACTGGAGTAAAAGTAAAAAGTACTGCGTGATTATTGTTGTGTTGTTGAAAAGATGAAATCGTAAATATCTGATCGAAGTCGTTTAAAGTTTAAAGACCAAAGGCAGAAATCAGATTATAATCAGATTATAATCTGATTATAATCTTATTATAATCAGATTATAATCAGATTATAATCAAATTATAATCACATTATAATCAGATTATAATCAGATTCTGGTGTCTCTGTTTACATTTAATAATCTGATAACTCCTGAAATCTGATTTGATGTGAGAGTAATCTGATTTCTCTCTGATACTTCACAGTTGTACTTTGTCCTCTGAAGTAACTGTACTTTTATACTGTACAATTTATGACTCAAGTAAGAATCAATAATACAAGTACACAAACAAAATAAAAACATGTCTGAAGAGGTTTTTGATGGTATCTGAGCAGGTTTCAGGTTTTAATGATTTCTCTCTGGCAATTTTCAAATCTTCCTTTATACGATTCTACATAAATATACAAAAACATGACACAAACATGACACTATGACGTCACAAACCTGGTGTGATGTGCAGGAGTTTCGTTAGTGTAGTTTTGTAGTGCTCTGTGCTCTGAAGGGGGAGTGATTTAGGCTCCTTTTACACGTACACGAGTATTTTTAAAAACAGGGATATTTTCCTTCGTTAGTTCTCGTCTTTTACACACAAACAGAGAATTCGTCTCTGAAAACAAACTTACATAAAAACTCTGTCTGGTGTGGAGATTCTGGAAAACTCCAGTTTGGTGTTTATGTGTTTTTTCTTTCCAAAATCAGGCCCCGTGTTCCAACATTTAGTCAGTCAGTTTCACCGACCTTTTCTCCAGCAGCAGGAGACGACAGATGTGATGTCGAGGTCGTGACTAAAAGGATCCTGGACTGAAATGACTCTGAATCATCCTTTTAAATGTGGTTTAAAAATAAAAATGACTTGAATTAGAATTTCATTTTGAGAAAAAATTTTAGAAATAAGAAAAACCTCAGAATCAAAGGAACATAGATCTGACCCCAGGGAGATAAACTGAGTTTTAGTAGGTGACGCCAAAAGTGCGAGACCAGTGTGTCACTTTGGCCCTGATGATGATGATGATGATGATGATGATGATGATGATGATGATGATGATGAGGATGATGAGGATGATGATGATGATGATGATGATGATGAGGATGATGATGATGATGATGATGATGATGATGATGATGATGATGATGATGATGATGATGATGATGAGGATGATGATGGATGATGATGATGATGATGATGATGATGATGATGAGATGATGATGATGGATGAGGATGATGATGATGATGAGGATGATGATGATGATGATGATGATGATGATGATGATGATGAGGATGAGGATGATGATGATGAGATGATGAGGATGATGAGGATGATGATGATGATGATGATGATGATGATGATGATGATGATGAGGATGATGATGAGGATGATGAGGATGATGATGATGATGATGATGATGATGAGATGATGATGATGATGATGAGGATGATGATGATGATGATGATGATGATGATGATGATGATGATGATGATGATGAGGATGATGATGATGATGATGAGGATGAGGATGATGAGGATGATGATGATGATGATGATGAGGATGATGATGATGATGATGATGATGATGATGGATGATGATGATGATGATGATGATGATGATGATGAGATGATGATGATGATGATGATGATGATGATGATGATGATGATGATGATGATGATGAGGATGATGATGATGATGATGATGATGATGATGATGATGATGATGATGATGATGATGATGATGATGATGATGATGATGATGATGATGATGATGATGATGATGATGATGAGATGATGATGATGAGGATGATGATGATGATGATGATGATGATGAGATGATGATGATGATGATGATGATGATGATGATGATGATGATGATGATGATGATGATGATGATGATGATGATGATGATGATGATGATGATGATGATGATGATGATCAGAGCATCAGTCGTGTTTCTTCTTTTCATGTGTTTCTTTTGCACACAGCTGATGTTTCAGATCCATGACCAAAGACCATTGAGGCTGTAGCAGATCTGTGGAGAGGCGAGCCGCTCACTAATGACAGATTTTAAACAGATTTTTGAATAGGCCTGATACTTACAACTGGGGATGTCATGGTTCACAAAACTCCCAGTTCAGTACATACTTCAGTTTCTGAGCTCACGGTTCAGTTCATTTTCAGTTCAGTTTGGGAACAAAATACAAAACCATTTGCTTGTTGTTTATTTGTATTAACATTACACTAATAAATGTAAAGTGCTGCTTGGTAAAACTAACAAGTTCAGTAAAATATTCTCAAGTAACCAACAAATGTTTGAAATATTATAAAAAATAAATTCCTTTTTCAAAAAGTATTGGTATTACTGGTATTACTACTACTACTACTGCTACTACTACTACTACTTCAACTTCTGCTACTGCTACTACTACTGCTGTTTCTGCTAGTACTACTACTACTACTACTACTTCAACTTCTGTTGCTACTAATACTCCTACCACTACCACTACTACTACTACTACTACTACTACTACTGCTACTACTACTACTACTACTACTACTACTACTACTACTACTACTACTACTACTACTACTACTGACTACTACTACTACTACTACTACTACTACTACTACTACTACTACTACTACTACTACTACTACTACTGACTACTACTACTACTACTACTACTACTACTGACTACTACTACTACTACTACTACTACTACTACTACTGACTACTACTACTACTACTACTACTACTACTACTACTACTACTACTACTACTACTACTACTACTACTACTGCTACTACTACTACTACTACTACTACTACTACTACTACTACTACTACTACTACTGCTACTACTACTACTACTACTACTACTACTACTGCTACTACTACTACTACTACTACTACTACTACTACTACTACTACTACTACTACTACTACTACTACTACTACTACTACTACTACTACTACTACTACTACTACTACTACTACTACTACTACTACTACTACTACTGCTACTATAACTACCTCTGTCCATTTTCCCTTTTCCAGACAAAACATTGACACTGAGAGTCACTTTAAAATACTTCATATTGTACAGTCACTAAACATGTAGGTTCCTTTTAAATTGTTGTGGTTTGTTCTCGGTCTTTGAAGTATTTACAGGAGACACTCTGCACTTTGCTTTACACACGACTTTGAGAAGAATTAAAGGTTGTATAGAGGATTTTCCAAGGAACGAGAAATCCAGCGACTGTTTGTCGTTTTTCAAATGTTGCGCATGCGTGAAACCACCTCCCCTCCCCTACAGCTCCTACGTAGAAACACCTCCTCCCTCCTCCTCCTTACGCCACAAACAGGTTTGTTTACAGCCGCTGCACATGACTTGTAAACAACTAACTACAGTGTTGGTTAGACAAGACAGAGAAGTGAGGAGCGAGGAGAGGAGCATCAAAGGGGTGCAGAGAAGGTTGCGCGGAGATTCCGTGCGAATGAACTAGCTACAACACGCAGCAGCAAGTGGACTCTTTCTTTGCCTTGAAAATTACGTTTTCAGACATAGGATATCGCTTTCGTGTCCTGAAAAACGTTTGTCTAACTCTTGGAAATAAAGTACGTTTTCATAATAAGCAGAAGTTTCCTGTCCAGGAGTAATTTGTGGACCAGTGGTTCAGTCTTTAGACCCTTCGTCTGCTTCAGTTGCGCCATCGCTGGAATGAATCTCCAAGAATCACCTTAGTTTGGCTTCGCTGCTTTTCCCCTTGTCTTCTTCTTTCACCTCAAAAACGGACTTTGTTTTGCGGCTAACTGCTCGTAGATTCTTGTCGCCATTGCAACAAACTTTGTGCGAACTGCGAGGAAGATATAGGTAAAAAAAAGCCGCTAAGAACTGTTGCGTTGGTGGAGTAAACAGCGTCTGTGCGTCTGTGGACTGTGTGACAGTCGTACGTAAACCACGTAACGGCGGCGCAGGCAAGTCAGTTACACTAGAAACGTAGGGAGTTTGATTGACAGCCTGTCAGCTCACAGATAACGAGGCAGTGTCGTTATCTATTGTCAAATGTTTAGCCCCACCACGTCCAGAGTTGATGAATTTTTATTCTCTTTTTTTTGGTCATCATAATTACAAGGCGACTGCATCTATAATCTATCACTGACAATTTGAAACAAAACAAAAAATCCTCCATACAACCTTTAAGTCGACAATATCAAACATTTTAACACTTTAAGTTGAACAGAGATAAAGCGTTGGAAGTCTCTGTGTAACGACTCTGTGACTCTGTTCTCCTCAGATCTTCGATGGGCTCGCTCCTCCTGGGCAGCCCCGTGGACCGTCTGGACTTCTCGGCAGACTCCGTCCTCAAGGCCCAGTTCAAGGAGACCAGGACCAACGAGAAGGTGGAGATGATGGGCCTGAACGACCGCTTCGCCAGCTACATCGAGAAGGTGCGTCTCCTGGAGCAGCAGAACAAGCTCCTGGTGGCCGAGGTCAACCAGCTGAAGGTGAAGGAGCCGAGCCGCGTGGGCGAGATGTACCAGGAGGAGCTGAGGGAACTGAGGCGCCAGGTCGACCAGCTGACCTCCGCCAAGGCCCGCGCCGAGGTCGAGAGAGACAACTGCACGACCGACCTGGACAAGCTCAAACACAGGTCAGAAATACTACAAATACTACTGCAAATACTTCAAATACTACTACAACAGCACGGCCGACCTGGACAAGCTCAAACACAGGTCAGAAATACTACAAATATACTGCAAATACTACAAATACTACTACAAATACTACTACAACAGCACGGCCGACCTGGACAAGCTCAAACACAGGTCAGAAATACTACAAATACTACTACAAATACTTCAAATACTACTACAAATACTACAACAGCACGGCCGACCTGGACAAGCTCAAACACAGGTCAGAAATACTACAAATACTACTACAAATACTACTACAAATACTACTACAACAGCACAACCGACCTGGACAAGCTCAAACACAGGTCAGAAATACTACAAATACTACTGCAAATACTACAAATACTACTACAAATACTACTACAACAGCACGGCCGACCTGGACAAGCTCAAACACAGGTCAGAAATACTACAAATACTACTACAAATACTACTACAAATACTACTACAACAGCACAACCGACCTGGACAAGCTCAAACACAGGTCAGAAATACTACAAATACTACTGCACAAATACTACTACAAATACTACTACAACAGCACAACCGACCTGGACAAGCTCAAAACACAGGTCAGAAATACTACAAATACTACTACTACAAATACTACAAAATACTACTACAACAGCACGACCGACCTGGACAAGCTCAAACACAGGTCAGAAATACTACAAATACTACTACAAATACTTCAAATACTACTACAAATACTACTACAACAGCACGGCCGACCTGGACAAGCTCAAACACAGGTCAGAAATACTACAAATACTACTGCAAATACTACAAATACTACTACAAATACTACAAATACTACTACAAATACTACTACAACAGCACAACCGACCTGGACAAGCTCAAACACAGGTCAGAAATACTACAAATACTACTGCAAATACTACAAATACTACTACAAATACTACTACAACAGCACAACCAACCTGGACAAGCTCAAACACAGGTCAGAAATACTACAAATACTACTACAAATACTTCAAATACTACTACAAATACTACAACTGCACGGCCGACCTGGACAAGCTCAAACACAGGTCAGAAATACTACTACAAATACTACAAATACTACTACAAATACTACTACAACAGCACAACCGACCTGGACAAGCTCAAACACAGGTCAGAAATACTACAAATACTACTGCAAATACTACAAATACTACTACAAATACTACTACAACAGCACAACCGACCTGGACAAGCTCAAACACAGGTCAGAAATACTACAAATACTACTACAAATACTACTACAAATACTACTACAACAGCACGACCGACCTGGACAAGCTCAAACACAGGTCAGAAATACTACAAATACTACTACAAATACTACTGCAAATACTTGAAATACTACTACAAATACTACTACAACTGCACGACCGACCTGGACAAGCTCAAACACAGGTCAGAAATACTACTACAAATACTACAAATACTACTACAAATACTACTACAACAGCACAACCGACCTGGACAAGCTCAAACACAGGTCAGAAATACTACAAATACTACAAATACTACAAATACTACTACAAAACTACTACAACAGCACAGCCGACCTGGACAAGCTCAAACACAGGTCAGAAATACTACAAATACTACTACAAATACTACAAATACTACTACAAATACTACTACAACAGCACAACCGACCTGGACAAGCTCAAACACAGGTCAGAAATACTACAAATACTACTACAAATACTTACAAATACTACTACAAATACTACTACAACAGCACAACTGACCTGGACAAGCTCAAACACAGGTCAGAAATACTACAAATACTACTACAAATACTACTCAAATACTACTACTACAAATACTACTACAACAGCACAACCGACCTGGACAAGCTCAAACACAGGTCAGAAATACTACAAATACTACTGCAAATACTACAAATACTACTACTACAAATACTACTACAACAGCACAACCGACCTGGACAAGCTCAAAACACAGGTCAGAAATACTACAAATACTACTGCAAATACTACAAATACTACTACTACAAATACTACTACAACAGCACGGCCGACCTGGACAAGCTCAAACACAGGTCAGAAATACTACAAATACTACTACAAATACTACAAATACTACTACAAATACTACTACAACAGCACGGCCGACCTGGACAAGCTCAAACACAGGTCAGAAATACTACAAATATTACTACAAATACTACAAATACTACTACAAATACTACTACAACAGCACGGCCGACCTGGACAAGCTCAAACACAGGTCAGAAATACTACAAATACTACTACAAATACTTCAAATACTACTACAAATACTACTACAACAGCACGGCCGACCTGGACAAGCTCAAACACAGGTCAGAAATACTACAAATACTACTACAAATACTTCAAATACTACTACAAATACTACTACAACAGCACGGCCGACCTGGACAAGCTCAAACACAGGTCAGAAATACTACAAATACTACTACAAATACTTCAAATACTACTACAAATACTACAACAGCACGGCCGACCTGGACAAGCTCAAACACAGGTCAGAAATACTACAAATACTACTACAAATACTACAAATACTACTACAAATACTACTACAACAGCACAACCGACCTGGACAAGCTCAAACACAGGTCAGAAATACTACAAATACTACTGCAAATACTACAAATACTACTACAAATACTACTACAACAGCACAGCCGACCTGGACAAGCTCAAACACAGGTCAGAAATACTACAAATACTACTACAAATACTTCAAATACTACTACAAATACTACTACAACAGCACAACCGACCTGGACAAGCTCAAACACAGGTCAGAAATACTACAAATACTACTACAAATACCACAAATACTACTACAAATACTACTACAACAGCACAACTGACCTGGACAAGCTCAAACACAGGTCAGAAATACTACAAATACTACTGCAAATACTTCAAATACTACTACAAATACTACTACAACAGCACAACCGACCTGGACAAGCTCAAACACAGGTCAGAAATACTACAAATACTACTGCAAATACTACAAATACTACTACAAATACTACTACAACAGCACAACCGACCTGGACAAGCTCAAACACAGGTCAGAAATACTACAAATACTACTGCAAATACTACAAATACTACTACAAATACTACTACAACAGCACGGCCGACCTGGACAAGCTCAAACACAGGTCAGAAATACTACAAATACTACTACAAATACTACAAATACTACTACAAATACTACTACAACAGCACGGCCGACCTGGACAAGCTCAAACACAGGTCAGAAATACTACAAATACTACTGCAAATACTTCAAATACTACTACAAATACTACTACAACAGCACGACCGACCTGGACAAGCTCAAACACAGGTCAGAAATACTACAAATACTACTGCAAATACTTCAAATACTATTACAATTACTACAACAGCACGGCCGACCTGGACAAGCTCAAACACAGGTCAGAAATACTACAAATACTACTACAAATACTTCAAATACTACTACAAATACTACTACAACAGCACGGCCGACCTGGACAAGCTCAAACACAGGTCAGAAATACTACAAATACTACTGCAAATACTTCAAATACTACTACAAATACTACTACAACAGCACGGCCGACCTGGACAAGCTCAAACACAGGTCAGAAATACTACAAATACTACTACAAATACTTCAAATACTACTACAAATACTACTACAACAGCACGGCCGACCTGGACAAGCTCAAACACAGGTCAGAAATACTACAAATACTACTACAAATACTTCAAATACTACTACAAATACTACTACAACAGCACGGCCGACCTGGACAAGCTCAAACACAGGTCAGAAATACTACAAATACCACTACAAATACTACAAATACTACTACAAATACTACTACAACAACTATTACTACAACTACAGCTATTATTATGACTACTCTCTGCTGGTCTCTAGTCTCTAGTCTCTAGTCTGGTCTGGTCCTTGGTCTGGTCCTTGGTCTGGTCTTTGGTCTGGTCCTTGGTCTGGTCCTTGGTCTGGTCTTTGGTCTGGTCTTTGGTCTGGTCCTTGGTCTCTGGTCTCTGGTCTAAACACAAAGGCTGTGAGCTGCAGATGTTTGTTGAATGAAACTTGTTCGTCAGAGGAGACGTGAGCTGAGAGTCAATGAGGCGCGGTGCGTTCAGGGACAGTCTGGACTCTGGTGTCTGGAGTCTGGACTGGAGTCTGGACTCTGGACTGGAGTCTGGACTTTGGACTGGAGTCTGGAGTCTGGACTGGAGTCTGGAGTCTGGACTGGAGTCTGGACTCTGGACTGGAGTCTGGAGTCTGGACTGGAGTCTGGACTCTGGACTGGAGTCTGGAGTCTGGACTGGAGTCTGGACTCTGGACTGGACTCTGGACTGGAGTCTAGACTCTGGACTCTGGATTCTGGACTGGACTCTGGACTGGAGTCTGGACTCTGGATTCTGGAGTCTGGAGTCTGGAGTCTGGACTCTGGAGTCTGGACTCTGGACTCTGGATTCTGGAGTCTGGACTGGAGTCTGGACTCTGGAGTCTGGACTCTGGAGTCTGGACTCTGGATTCTGGACTGGACTGGATTCTGGACTTTGGAGTCTGGACATTGGAGTCTGGAGTTTGGAGTCTGGAGTTTGGAGTCTGGACTGGAGTCTGGAGTTTGGAGTCTGGAGTTTGGAGTCTGGAGTGGAGTTTGGAGTCTGGACATTGGAGTCTGGAGTTTGGATTCTGGAGTTGGAGTCTGGAGTCTGGAGTTTGGAGTCTGGAGTTTGGAGTCTGGAGTTTGGAGTCTGGACATTGGAGTCTGGAGTTTGGATTCTGGACAATGGAGTCTGGAGTTTGGAGTCTGGAGTTTGGAGTCTGGAGTTTGGAGTTGGAGTCTGGAGTTTGGAGTCTGGAGTTTGGAGTCTGGAGTTTGGAGTCTGGACATTGGAGTCTGGAGTTTGGAGTCTGGAGTTTGGAGTCTGGACTGGAGTCTGGAGTTTGGAGTCTGGAGTTTGGATTCTGGACAATGGAGTCTGGAGTTTGGAGTCTGGAGTTTGGAGTTTGGAGTCTGGACATTGGAGTCTGGAGTTTGGAGTTTGGAGTCTGGAGTTTGGAGTCTGGAGTTTGGAGTCTGGAGTCATTGGAGTCTTGGAGTCTGGAGTTTGGAGTCTGGAGTTTGGAGTCTGGAGTTTGGAGTCTGGAGTTTGGAGTCTGGACATTGGAGTCTGGAGTTTAGGCGAAAACTCAAGAACAACCCTGATGTTTGGATTTGAGTCTGAGTTCAGCTTCAACAGAAGGTCAGAAGGACACGAGGAGCAGGTCTGGAGATGTTCTTCAAACTCCCACTGTGAAAAGTGCGGTCCACGTTTTCCTGAGTTCCCGAGCGTCTCCTGAACGCTCCGTCCGAGGCGTGGGAGACTCCAGCTGCTCTGAGGACAAAAAAAACTACAAAATGACTACAACCCCACAGGTCAAAGGTCACGGCTTTTGTTTCTGACTCAGAAGCTGCAGATGCTCCACAGAAGAAGAACAGACGGACCAGACCTTCTCACAAACTCCTCTCTGCTCTATCGAAAAGGATTTATTTACTGACATGAAAAACAGTCTGTAATTTTCCAACATGAGTTTATTTGAGTTTTTGCCAACAACAACTAGCATGCAAACCTGTAGACTGTATATATACGGCGCACTTCCTGATTATCGACAGTAAAGATGCAGGCAGAACACAGAGGATTTATTTTAACCTCATTTCGCTCCAATACAAGAGGGAAAAAAAACAGATACGGAGCTTTTAAATGTCAATAAGACGAGTTTATTGAAATCGCCCAAACGAGATCAGACCAGTATCGGTATCGGTATCGGTATCGGTGTAGAAAAATGAGCCCCAAAAGAAATTTGCTCAAGAATTTCCAGGGTTTTAATCACTTTGGAATTGGAGAACAAGTATAATATTGTATTTTTTTGGACAGGAAAATGTGGAAATAGGGTTTACGAAGAATTTGAATTTGAATTTTGACATTTTTAGACGATTAAAAAATATTGATACAGTTTTGTTAACTTTACTAAAAACAGCACGTCTTTAAAAGAAACGGTAAAATGGGACATAAAATTGCGTATATGTTTGACAAATTCCTTAAAAAAACAAAAAATAAAAACAAAGTCACTGAGCAGATTTTAACTCAATTAATCGAATTTTGATCGCGATTTTGATTCCTCCAAACTCAAATAATCGAGTTGAAATGAGCTGAAGAAAGTTGATTTTGGGATATTTTTTATATAAATGAGCATATTTATTTTATTGTTTAAATATAGAGATTGTAACAGTTTATTTTGGATAAATTTAGTTTGTATTTCAAGTTCAAAGTTTATTTTATTAATTTTAAGTTTTATATGTAAAACTGCTCTACAGATTTGTTTGAAAGTTTTACGTAAATTATCAATAACAAAGTGTTTTTTTAGAGAGAAATCCTGAATAAAAGCACCTTTTGAATAATCGTGATTTCAATATTGACCAAAATAATCCTGATGATGATTTTTTTCCATAATCGAGCAGCTCTGGCAGATTTCCCTTTGCTTCACGGCGATGAGATCTGTAGATTTTTCTGTGGAATATTGTCAGTAAAGTTTCTCCAGCGGTGAATCACTCGTGAGACTGTAGTTCTACGTCTTTAAAACGAGTCTCTTATTTTCCTGTTTTGGTTTAAATGTGAAATAAAACCAGTTCTGCCAATGGGTCCAGTCAAGTGTTAACGGAGGGAAACAGGGTCAGATTTTTGACATTCAAATGTCTCTTATTCAGAAACTAGAGGAACTATTGAAATAAGTAAAGTATCAGAATGTAGGAAAGAGTTACACTCCAACAGGGTCAAGTTAAACCTGTGATATTCTTTCAAGTTGTTGACAAAAAATTTAAAAACTCATGTCAGTAACTTTAGGGAATGAAATATGCAGCACTTTTTGTTCAATAAATCCAAACAGTGATAACTCTTGGTTCTCACTTCCATATCCTTAACAAACTGGTTTGAATATTTGCTTCATATAGTTTTCTACCATATGGTACAAGATTAGGTTGAAAAACCTCTGACTTTTTGACTCATGAGATTTTTTATTAAGAAAGGTCATGGTAACGGAGGGAAAAGTAACGGAGGGAAAATTGTACAAACAAGTAGAAGGTGCAGGATTTTACATCATTTGTCACTTTTCTCTTCTGAATACTTTAATATTACTTCAAAATGAAAGGAAACTATTTGGTAACACTTTATAATAACTACACCTTATTTAGCCTTAATAAAGCATGAACAAAGGCTTAATTAATAATGATTCACACTTAGTAACTACTTAATTACTACCTTGAATTAGCACTTGCACTTCATTTGCCTGTGCTGTAAATAGTTACTCATAATTATTTCATACTTAATTACTCATGAACTAACCATTTGAGCATTTATTAATCATTAGTAAACTATGAGAGAATGATTTACTAATAATACAATGCAATGATCATTCAGGCAGCTGTTTTCTGTCAGTTAAGTCTTTTTGAGAGCTTTTCTAAAGTGAAGACTAATTATGCTTTATTAAGCATTTACTAAGCGTGAATCATTATTAATTAAATCTTTGTTCATTATTAATTAAGTCTTTGTTCATGCTTTATTAAGGCTAAGTAAGGTGTAGTTATTATAAAGTGTTACCAACTATTTCTATAAAATATGTCAGTCCTTCCAAGAACATTTTTATCATTTTAAATACTTTTTTTTTTTTTTTAATCATGTCCCTTCATCAACAGTTCAAAAGATGGAATAACACAAGATATGATGAAATACAAACATTTATTTACATGATTTGCAGGTCTTTGAAATTTGGGGAATAATATTTTTGTTCCATGTTTCATTCATGGTCTGTTTAAAACATTATGGAAACTTTGGACAGAAAAAAGGTCAACAGTTTGATAAACTAGAGAACATATGTATCTGTTCAATACACTTTTATATCAGATGGATTAACTTGAATTTTTGGCCTTGTTGTTTACTTCTGCTGGACCGGACCCTGTGTCACAGTGTTTAAAAGAGACGCTGGTGTGACAAAGCCGAGCTGCTGACGTCCAGGAAAAGTAAAAGTATTTTAAAGTAGCTCCAAAAAAAAGTACTTGATGTTGCTGATTGTGAATTGTGATGTCACCTCACACTGCCCCAGACCCCAGAGGGAGGAACGAGGGAGGAGGAGGAGGAGGAGGAGGAGGAGGGGATAGAGGGAGGAGAGAGGGGGAGGTGTTTTGGGGCTTTTGTGTCTCCGTGGGAACGGCCCCCCGCTCTGTGTGAGGAGCAGTCAGGCAGAAGAGCATTCAGCCGAGCAACGAGCGACAGAGAAACAGACTGAACGAGTGTGACGGACGGAGAGAGAGAGGGAGAGAGAGAGTAGAGGACAGAAAGGAGAGAGAGAAGAAAAAGGAGAGGAGAGAGGGAGGAGAAAAGAGAAGAGAAAGGAGTCGAGAGGAAAGAGAGAGGGAGGAGAGGAGAGAAAGGAGAGAAGAGAAAGGAGAAGAGAGAGAGAGGAGAGGAGAGAAAAAGAGAGAAGAGAAAGAGAAGAGAGAGAGAGAAAGGAGAGAAGAGAAAGGAGAAGAGAGGAGAGGAGAGAAGAAAAAGGAGAGGAGAGAGGGAGGAGAGAAGAGAAAGGAGAAGAGAGAGAGGAGAGGAGAAGAAGGAGAGAGAGAAAGGAGAGAGAG